CCCAAAGACCGTGGCTATGAATTATATATAATGACATACCAAATCTCAATTTCATTAAACAAATTTGTATTGAACCCCTACTAAGAATCAAGTATTGAGACTATAAGTGGTGAACAAAGCATACATCCTTATTCTTATGAAACTTACAATTATGAAACATTTGAGACATCACGTGATTATATAACTAAATAGGCAGATTCAGATATGAGAAGATCATGAAAGAGAAACTTTCAGGATACTAGGGAACCACACAGTGAGATGAGACAGAGAGGAACAGTCTAAATTGTAGTGTCACGGGGAAATAGAAAGTAAAACATGAAGGACAAGTGGTAGTTTTCTGGCAAAGATCAACAGAAGGAAGAATGTTCCAGGCAGAGAGAATAGCATAAGCAAAGGTCCTGGGCAGAAACAAGACTGGCATTTTAAAGACTCTCAGATTGCTTATGTTACTGTGATGAATATAAATTTTATTATTTATTTAAGTTCTAATCAGAGGTCTGCATACCATCTATAAAGCGCCAAAGAGTAAATAGTTTAGACTTTGTGAGCTACACAATTTATGTTGTAATTTTTAAAATATTCCTTGTAGCAAGAAAGTCATAGACAATACATAAGTGAATGAACATGACTGTTCAAATAAAACTATATTTATAAAAATCAGATAGCAGAGAGGGAGGTGGTACATACAATGTAGTTTGCTAAACCTGTTATAAATTATATAAGCCCCTTGTAAAACTCAATTATAAACCTCAATTGCATAAAGATATTTATTCTGATGAACATATTTATTGGGAATCTATTGACTACTAGGGATGCAGCAGTAAATAAAAATGCATTGTTCGTTTGCTTGTGAAATGAATGAATTAGACATTTAACAAATAGCAATATGATAACTAGATAACACATACACAATTGAACTGTAGCTACATGCAATTAATGAGTTGCATAAGGGTCCTCTAGAGATTATAAGAGGAGGCCTAAACTAGTATGAATGACCAGGGAAATCTTCTATGGAGAAATGACACTTCAAAGTGAAACTAGAAGGATGTGTAAGTGTTGCCCAGGTAAAGAGTTAAGACACAGAATATCCCAGAGAAAGAGGACATAGCAAAATGAAGGCCCAGTGGAAAAGGTGACTGGAAAAGGTGACTTCAGAAGAAGAAAGAAAGGCAATGGTCAGGTATAGGCAGTGAAGGAGAAAAGTGTGTTAGACAAGCCTAGCTGGTAGGTAGCGGCTTTGTGCTGCATCTTACGGACTTTAAAAATATTTAGGGCTTCATATTATACACTCTTAGGAATTTAATAGAAGGTCGATTTTACATAATCTAAATATGAAATACTTGATGGAAATTTTCAGAGTGAAGAAACCACTCAAGATTAGAAAAAGAACTACACAAAAGGATGAAAGTAAAGGTTGTCCAGGGCTCATAAAGGTCTAGAATTGTGCCTGTCTCAACAGCTGGAGGGGCAAACTTCTCCCTTTCAGAGGGCATTAGTTTAAAAAGGGTCTTTTTAGCTGTGTAAATGGATGCATGTTGAGGCCATACTCTTAAGTGAAATTAATAGGATGCATATGTGTAAAATCCTAATGGTTTCTCTAGTGTGAGAAACTGAAAGTGTAAATAAGGATGAAAAGGTATTAACAGATAACATGAAATAGAAAGAAAAGCTGCAAGGGGGAAGGGGAAATGGAGGGGTAAGGGAAAAGAAAGATGGGAATGGAATTAACATGAGATAAAGAAAAATGGAAACAAAATCTTTGTAGATAGGGAGAGGTGGAGGAGTCGAAGGGAGGACAGTGGAATGGGGAAAAAATAAGAACCAAGATGAATTATGTAAAGGTGCAAATTTCCAATGATAAATGGCATTATATCATATACCTTAAATGTACCAATAAAATTAAAATGTCAAAAAAAAAAAAAAAAGCTCACATCAGTGTTCACGGTGATTGCCAGTCCCACCCTCCTGTATCTGTCTGCAGCACAGGGTCTCTGTGAAGGACACATTCATTCCAAAATAAAATAAAATAGATCTTGCTTCAAAAGTGGGAAGTAATTAAGTGCAAAACCCAAATGGATTGTTTCCAAGTTTTTAACTGGGTTTCAGAACAAAGTAAAACAATTACAGAATTACAAAAATATCCACTACACAACAATTTGGTAAAATTCACAATGTCTGATATGCTATCAAAAATTACAAGGTGTACAAAGGAAAATAGAAGCCATAACGTAGAGAAAATCACCCGTAACACATAATGACACAGAGGGTTGAAGTACTACAAACAAGAGTTACTGATAATATATAATCAGAAACTAATAAATGAGTACATCAAAATGTGGAAAACATAGAAGATACTCAACTGAAGTTCCAAATATGAGAGTTACATTGTTTAAAGTGCAAAATGGCTGGATAAAATTCACAGTAAGCACAAAGAGCAGAGGAAAAGACTAGTGAACTAAAGCTTAGCAATAGAAACTATCCAAAATGAAATACACACAGGGGAAATAGCGAAATAAAGACAGACCATCAGTGAAATCTGGCTCTGTCTACTCTCATGTGACTCAGTCATTCTGCTTGGACTTTCCATAGAGAAATGAAAGATTGTGTCCCTACAAATCAATTGTAAATGAATGCCATTGCAACATTATTTATAATAGTCTACACTGGAAACAACTCAGAGTCCGTGAGTAGTCAAATTGATTAAAATATTTGAGGTACGTCGTATAATGGAAGACTCAGCAATAAAAAGGATGAGCTATTGATGTATGCTTCAGCATAGATGGAGCCAAAAATAATGCCTCTGAGTAAAAGAAGGTGAACAAATAATACATACTGTGGAATTATATTTGTACACAATTCTAGAAAATACAAGTAAATCTGTAGGAACGGAAGCAGATCGATACAGGAAAGGGGCAGGGAGAGGCAGAAGAGAGGAATTTCAAAGGTACATCAGGTAATTTTGGGTGGTGAATATACGTATATATTCATTATCTTGATTGTAGTGTTGGCTTTGTGTAGATATATATTTTAAGCTTTGTAACAGTACATTTTCATATCTCAACAAAGCTATTAAAACCATCATATAAACAAACACACTTGGCTTTGAAACAGAAGAGTGAAATGACAGAACCTACAAGGAGATGCTGTGTTGAGTGACGGTTTTATTTATTTGGGGGTTTGATTTTGTTGTGTTACTTTCATACAACAAAAACCTCGCAAATTTATAGGCTGAGGGAAGTGTACAGAAAATCACAGGAAAGAGAAGGCAATTGATGGAACACAATCCTGAGAGAGACAGAACATTTAGAACCCAAGGCCAGGTGACTGCCCCGCTTTGCCTGGAGAGGAAAGAAACGAGGATGTGGAGATGCCTACAGGATGCATCACTCCCTGACTTTTATTCTCCAGGCACTGTACTCTGAGAATAACTTCGTCTTTGCACAGTTCTCCCTATTCCAGAGGGGTGCACTTCCTTAGAAATAATTTCTCCCAAATTCAATGACGTCTGCAAAGGCCAGGTTTGAACTGATAGGAATCTGTGATGCACTGCAAAAATAAGATTATTTTATTGAACAGTAGACAGTGTCTTTCCCTTTACCAAGAAAAGGCTAAAAATTAGATATTTTGCTGCTTTGCTTTTTTTTTTTTTTACAAAAGGTCTTACAAGAGCAACTCTGAGAGCTTTGATATTATGTCCCAGACATGTGTTTAATGTAATTTGGAAAACACAGTCACCCAGCTAGCTAAAAGGGATGTTGGTCTTTCAATTAGCATTTGATTATATACACAATCTCCCCCCTCCCCACTTTCTTCACAGTAATTGATATTTAATCCACTGTCCAACAGCACAAAAACAAGTGTCAATTTAATAGAATCACTTATCTTAGCATTAAAATAATATGTTCACTCTACTTTCCAATGTACTATTTTATCTGGAAAGATTCAGACTTCCAGGAGCGTTCATTCAGGAAACCAAGACTTCAGTAGACTGTATAACATGGATTCTGTAGTAATAATTTCTGTATCTTTCAAATTCATTCAACAGGTTTAACGAGATGTGGAAATTAAAGCTGGTCATTTTGTACCCGTTTCGTTTCAATTAGAATCTGTAGTCTCGGCGTTCATTGAACGCACTTAGGTCTTCACAAGGGCTAGCAGGTAAACTGCCGGTCCTTTATCATCACTTGGAACCAAAAAGTCTCTGGAAACTGGAAAGAGCTCTCTTCCAGCAAACAAGGAAGTCTGCACGGATCGGCCTCCAGGAGTCTTGAAGAGTCATCTTACTTTCAGGTTGAGACCTACCTGGGCTTACTGCTTTGGGGCAAGTGCTCGGCAGGGCTGATCTAGAAAAACCAAGTGGGGAAGGGACCAGACCTCGAGCTCCTGTTCAGCCCTCGCGGGACCCCGAGCTCAGCAGCCCCCCACCTGCTTTAAGTCGGTCTCGGGAGGAACTTGCGCGCCCGCAGTGAAGATACTCCACCTAGTACCGAATTCGGGGACACTTTAGCCCGCACCCAAGGGGTCCGTAATTCCGGCGGCAGGCGACTGAGATCTGGCTGCGCTTATCTCTAGCAGGACTAGACCCGGCGTGGAGGAAAGCGGTCTGATCGTGACCTCGAAGGGCAGCTCCTCGGGCGGCATTGTCCAGCGAACTTGGAGCCTGCCTCGCCCTGGCTGACCCAGGCCCCCCTGCTCCCGCAGAGCCGAGGGAGAGCTGAGTGTGGGCGGCTCCCGAAGCGACACTCGTGCGGCTGCCCCTCCCCCGCCCGCGGGGACTCACCCAAGCGTGACTGGGAAAGCGGTCTGATCGTGACCTCGAAGGGCAGCTCCTCGGGCGGCATTGTCCAGCGAACTTGGAGCCTGCCTCGCCCTGGCTGACCCAGGCCCCCCTGCTCCCGCAGAGCCGAGGGAGAGCTGAGTGTGGGCGGCTCCCGAAGCGACACTCGTGCGGCTGCCCCTCCCCCGCCCGCGGGGACTCACCCAAGCGTGACTGTGCAGGCGGCCCTGCCCCCCAGCCACGCCCGCTCTCCCGCCACGGTAAGCGAGGGGACCCGAACTCGCCCCAGAGCCAGCTCCTTCTTCGGAGCCCTGCAGCCCCGTTAGGGTCGCACCCGGGTCCCCAGCCTCTGCGGCCGGACGCCCGCCGTTCCTTCTTGGCGTCGAAGTTCCCCTTGCCCCTTCTAGTTCCGTCAGAGCGTCCGTCTGTCCTTGTCCGAGGCCTTCCCGGCTGGGCAGCCCTGTGGGTTATCTTCTGGAGGAGGAGGAGGTCAGCATGGGACCCCTGTCCCCGGGCAGCTGGTGGTCTCCCCCGGGGCGCAGGACGCAGGTTTCCTGGGCGGGTTCACCAGGGAGCAACCCTGGCTTCGGGATCCGAGCTGAGACGGCTGGCCTGGGGCCAGGTCTCGCCTCCCTGGCTGCCTCACTTGTCCCCACCACGGAATCCCAGCCTTCACCTGCAGCAGGCTGACCGAAAGTTTCCTCTTCCTAGAAGGGTTTGGGGATGTGGGGAGGAAAGTGGTCGTTTTTTTAACTCAGAAGGAAGAACATCTAATTCTGTTTTAGAAGTCGCCCAGAGACTCTTCATCCTTGCGACTTGGAACAAGTTGCTGAGTTTGGGGGGCGGAGCAGAGGGGCAGGTCCAGGGCACAAGGTGTCCTAGTTTCCAAGCTCAGCTTCCTCCCGAGGGACTGGGACGGCAGCGGAGTGGGGATCGCGGGTGGCAGCGAGGAGAGGGGCGCTCGTCCGTCCTCTGAATTTCCTGTCCCTTCCACTGGCCCTTCTGTCCCCGCAGATGCTCGGTAGCAAGCGACTGGGGCTGTCCGCACTGACTCTTGCCCTGTCCCTGCTGGTGTGCCTGGGTGCGCTGGCCGAAGCTTATCCCTCCAAGCCAGACAACCCGGGCGAGGACGCACCGGCGGAAGACATGGCCAGATACTACTCGGCGCTGCGACACTACATCAACCTCATCACCAGGCAGAGGTGGGTGGGCCCGGCAGGACAGACGGGAGCGCTATGCCACACACTCACAGATCCTGGGGCGACTAGGCAACGGGAATTTCTTCCCCATATCTCCGGGTAGGGCCGTAACAGGCACATACTCAGCAGGGCACAAAATACACAACTGGGTAGAGTCCCTCTCCAGGGACTAAGTCGTGAATCCAGAGTCAGTTTCCCCAGGCTTCGGTCTGGGCACCTCCTTCTGCCCATCTTTGGGTCTTTTTCGTTTTGATCAGCTGGAGATCTGTTTAGAAACCTCCATAGGAAAATTCCAAATGGGCAAAGGGACAAGGGGCAAAGGGAAAGGCTGTAGGAAGAAAAGCAAGCTTGGTGTCTATGGGAAACAGAACAACCACTGACGAAAACCAAGGAGGAAAAAGCCTGGGCACTGAAGAGGTGGCTCGATCTTCCAACCTGTCCTGCATGAACTGACAGTCAGTGTTTAGACAAAGACAAATACAATTATGAGGTTCTTTTCTCTGTAGTCTCAGCCCCATTCTTGAGAATTCTAGTCCCAATAATTAGAGAGGTAGCGTGAAAACAGTTGATCTAAGATACAGAATTTCCCCACTAGATAGTAAAGTAAAAATGTATCCACTTGCTTTGATAAGAAAAAATTTACACTGGTCTACTATTGTAACTCTAGCATAAATTGCACAGATTCTGAGAAATTATTAACCTTATTCTGAATTTTCAGAAAGTCAAAATAAAATACATTTTCAGTCTCAACATCAAATATTGAATAAAAAGTCAAATCCAAACTACTTTATAGATAATGTAGGATTTAAAATTTCTTTCCAAAATTGGTACAATATTAGTCATACATAAGTCATTTATTCTTATTTTTATTATTGAGATTAAAGGACCTTCAGGAGCTATAAAGGATGAGTCCTTTAGAAACATTAATGTTACTCAACACATTTCAGCAATGTATTGTAAAGTATTGGTATTTTTGTTCAGGCTTATTTAAATCATATTTTTACTGTTTACAAGTCAGAGTATAGTTTAAAAGGCTCCAAATGGGGGAGAATTTATACTTCTAAAATAGTTATCTTCTTTGTTTCATCAAAAAGGTATATATCTTAAAAGCCTTATGAAAATGTCCCAGTTTGTACAGAATCAATGAAATAATATTCATTAGTAATTGCTTAAAATCTGATCATTTTAATTAGCAAAAAGCAGTAATGTATTAAATTCTGTAGACTTCTCAGAAAATAAATTCTCCAAACTTTTCCTTATGCCACCATTCAGTCCAGAGAAAAGAATTTATTCCAATAAAAATATATCAACTGCTGCTTTTTCTAAGAAAAACCTTTGTTATTTATTTAGTTATAGCATGATATACAGTAGAATTCATTTTTACAGAGATGATTGTCATTGTATAAAGCTGTAGCATTTCAAAATGTTTCCCTGGGCATCTCATTCAGTCTTCACCTCAGAGCTTTGAAGTGAATATGGTTCTTTCCATTTTACAGGTCACAGAACCTGTAGGAAAGCTTTTTGGAAAGGTTATGTAATTGGAACCTTCCTATTGAGTTTCCTTGGATGTTGTCATCACTGTCAGCAATCACTGGGGTCTGATGAGAAAAAATAAGGGAAAGGGACCTGAGCTCATTGGAAGGGATGCAGACTAGGTGGGCAGCTGGTCCCTAAGGGAGTTTCTCTGTGTCATCTTCATATAAATTCCTGCCTAGAAGCCATCGGAAGCTCCTACTTCCCTGGCATCTGTTCAAAAATCAATCATTGCCTTCCCACCATAGATGACTACTCATATGTACAAGTATGTGCTTTAAAAATATGGTCATCTGAAATTATGCTTTCTTTCCCTACTCAGTCCATGTTTTAAAACTATATGCCTGGTGCTGTATCTACCCCTGGTTCACTGCTTCTGAAAGATGCTTTGCTTATTACAGAGTATGAGTTCATTGTATTTTGTTTACCTACTTCCCTGGACCCTTAGTTCTCAGCTGGGGTGATCTTTATAATCCCCAGAACATTTGGCAATGGAGAAAACTTTTGTTGTCACGACTAGAGGTGGGAGGAACTAGCATCTAGTGCTTAGAGGACAGTGACTCTGCTAAATATCCTGGACTGCCCAGGAAGGTCCCCTACAACAAAGAATTATCTGGCCCAAAAGATCAGTAGTGCTAGGGTTGAGAAATTCATCCCCAGATTACTGTTTCTCCATCCTCAATGCACATTAGATCACCTGAGGTGCTTAAAAAATATATGGACATTGGGCTGCACCCCTGACCAATTAAATTAGACCCACTGGAGGTGGGGCCTAGGCTTTCAAAATGTTTTTTAAAGCTCCCCAGGTGTTTGCAATGTGCAGCCAGGTTTGAAAATCTTTGCCCCAGAGACTCTCTGGAAGTAAAGCATTGTACAGAAGAAGGATACTACAGAATTAATTAGAGAAGGAAGAGTAGTGAACATTGCTGTCCTGGGTACCACTTTATGACTATGTGAACCCTGCTATTAAAAATTTAGGTTCTTTACTGGTAAATTGGAAAAAACAGTTGCCAGTTCCTTTATTCCCTGGAGTATGATGAAGATAAGTGAATTAAGGTTGCCTAAGAGTTCTAAGATTAGTAAAATCAACTGATAGACACAATAACTAAGAACAAGCAGCAGCCTAGAGTTTGGTATCACAACTCCAGGAAATCTTTGAGGAAGTCTTACAAATGATATGAGAGGGAGCAGAAGTTTCAGGGGCATTTCTTCCTTTGATTCCTAGCAAATAAGCAATAATAGGACATGTTCCCAAAACATTTAGATTTAGTTGTACTTGATAGGCAGTTGGAGCAAACCTTCTGCCAGCTTTCTTCAGCTATTGTACCTATTAGTTAATCAGTCCACACCAGTCTACGACTTCATGTGTAAACAAAGAAGCTGCTCCTTCCTGTCTAAAGCCTTTCACAGAAAGGGGAAATAACCTCTTCAAAAAGTGCCAAACCTTTTAGCAGCATCCTGCAGCAGGTAGCTTATACTGCCTTCAGGGGTAAATGTAACCTTGCCTCACGCATTGTCCCAGCCAGATTCCGCTCTATGAGGGAAAAAAGAAATCCCATAAACACATTTCCATGGACTGATAGTCTCCCTTTATACTTATGGGGCAGGCTAAAGTACAGTATCAGGAAAGGCTTTTAGCTTTTGGTGCCTTGAATGAAATGGAAAATACAAGCCCAAGATCTGGTGGTAGCTGAAAGGAGGAAGCATTTCCATGGCAGTAATGTGTATTTGAGTATAATTTTGTCACTATCAAAGTGCTTGGACCCACATTTCACATGGGATTTTCACCAAGATTCTCACTTAAGGGTTATGATTGTGTTTTTATGAATTACTAAACAGATTCAGAGACACAGGTGCATTTTGAACATCACTCTACTGGTTCCCCTACCTCTTGGAGGGCTGTTTCAGGCATATCATCTGTTCTACTAGTTAAGATTTAAACTGCTATGTATTTTCAGAACTATAGCCAATCAACTAATTATGGAAACATTTTAAAATCATGCTATGATTTTTAATTTCCTGTCAGTTATTATACACACACATACATGTTATATATATTGTTGATGGTAGTATAAAAAGAATTTGACTAGGAATTTTGATTGAATTTAAGTTATTTAAACAAATTTAGATAGTACAAAATTTAAATCTCACTTATAATAATGTTTCTCTTTTTTGGTACTGGGGATTGAACTCGGGTCCTTGCTATAATAATGTTTCTGATGACTTCATATACCTGGATTGCAGATACCTAGATCAACTGTCAGCAGATGAACAACTGAAAGTAACTTTTAGGTTTAGTATCCAGATAGTAGACTTCTTTTTTTCCTTAAAATTTTTATGGCTATTTCAAGCTTACTTTAAGAAACTTTTCCTTTTCTCTTTTTCAGATATGGAAAACGATCTAGCCCTGAGACACTGATTTCAGACCTCTTAATGAGAGAAAGCACAGAAAATGTCCCCAGAACTAGGTATGACAAGGCCTGTGGTGGGGACATTGTCACAGAACTCCAGGTGTCCAGGGGAAGGTGGGAAGCTTCCAGACATGAGGTGGGGGAAGAAATGAGAATGGATAATAAGGCAGGAAGGACTTTTCTTTTTACTCATTGGTAAATCTCTAAACTTCCTTGGGGTAATATTTTCTAGCCTATTCTATTTGGTGCTCCTTTGAAAATTCTAAATATGAGTAATTCTTAGCTCAGAGTTTATTCTGTATAGAATTTCTAGCATTTTTATAATTGGGGGAGCATAGAATAAGACCAGAACTCTAAATCAACTATCCGTTTTGGCTTGGAGAATCTTTAATTTGCATATACTAGGTTGAGTGTCCTTATGTTCTAGGAAATGTTACTCATGTGACTTGAGCCTTTCTGGTTTTACATGAATCTATAGAAAGATCAAGTGCTCCAGATTACTATTTGACATACTGTAGTGCAACATAGTAATTTATTGTATTCAATGAATGACTGTTGAATGACATGTTATTCTTAGGAACTTATCTGTAGCCTCAGTACTTATTGGAGCATGGATCTGTCCAGGGAAAAGGTGCTCAACAAAATCTAAGTGTTCACCATTTAGCGAGGATTCTCTGGCACATCCTGGACAAGGACTGCTACAAAAAGAAGCCTAACTGGCCTCTATTTTTATGACCCCTGACTATGCTGCCTTTGTCTCCAGCGTGCATCCACAGTACAATCACAATGCACAGGGCCCACTCCTGTCTATGGTACCTTGTGTGTCTGAAGCCCAGGGATCTACCACATCAAAAACTGATTTCCCCAGAAGAGGTCACTAGCACACTTAGTGAGTGTGACTGTTATGGAGCTTTTCATCAAGGTCTCCCTAAATAATACACGGGGCCACCATCTCCCCTCCCAGCCTCCCTTAGTTCACTTGTGAAATGGCCAGCCAGAATGAAGGGCACAAGGATAGGGTTTGGCAGATTTGTTTCTCAGAGGGAAACAATGATTTGAGCTAGAATAAAATCCCACATACCAGCCCAGATATAAATAGCAAATGCCAGAGAAACAGAAGGAAAATTCTTAAGGATTGTTTTTAATACTAAGCAATAAGTACCTTTGAATGTTTCATGGATAGGTATATAATGTACGTTACAGTGAAATTTAGGGAAGGCTTTGTCTACTTAAATTTAGGAAAATAATGATTCAGACCTACTTATAATTCGGCTGCTGGCTTTGTTTTATGGACTGCAATAACAGTGCATGAAACAGAGCTAATTGCATTCTCATTGACAGATTCAATCATGTGCAATTGGAAGGAGACAAAAGTTGATAGCCTTGAAGTTGCTTATGAATACTATTATATTTAAAAGGGCCCTTTTAGTTAAATAGCATCTTGCTACATAAAAAGGCTTGTAAGAAAACATCAGAAGTAAATTCAGAATTGAGCAACACTAACTTTCTTGTTACAGTTTTGTGTGATTCTTGTAATTTTGATCTTTAGAAATATTGTGGAGTTCCTCCGCTCTTTTGATATATATATACAGAGCTTTTTAAATACTCCTGTGGAGATTTGACTGAGACACCCATTAACACGAGTGAGAGCCACTCAGCTGGCCTTGGCACAGTGTGCAGCTGTCTCAGGGGCTGCTCTTCATGTGGCCTTTTGTTTAGCGTGCCAACAGGAGGCCTCTTAAGAGTTTCTGATCATGTTTTTGTTCAGAGTTGAACTTCTCACTCTTGGAAGCCTCCCAGCTTCTTTTACATATTCTGCTCTTTGTATTTTACAGGCTTGAAGACCCTTCTATGTGGTGATGGGAAATGAAACTGGCTCTCCAGGCTCTTCCTATTTTCCACCCATATTTCATTCTGTACAGTGAATGTGTGCCTGTCCTACCAACGCATGAGACCATTGTGCTGAATTCTACAGTGTTTTCCTTTGTCATTGTATATATGTGTGTCTAAATAAAATACCATGCATTAAAAAGTGTATTCTCCTCAATTGACAATATGCTATTACAATAGAGAGAATTATTTTACGTTATTTATTAAAGTATAATCTCCCTCATGTAGCAAATTTAAGGTTTGTTTCATCAGTATTAAAGCAATGGCTATGAGACAAAAAGATAGGATTATATATGAGGACCGAGACTCTGTGTGTGTGTGTGTGCGTGCATGCACATGTGGGTGTATGGCAAAGAAGTATTTAGAGACATTGACCAGGAAGATTTTAATTTGAAAAAATCTTCTGATTTCTTTTCTCCCTTTACCTGGAATCCTTGTTAATCTTGTTAACCTATGCCACCAGTGGAAGGGACTGAGGACTAAAAACTTTTCGCAAAAAGTTCTCAATCCCCCTAGTTATATGCGGCTTTTGAGCACTTGATGTGGCTAATGCAACTAAGAAGCTAAATAAGAAACTAAATTTTACTTAATTTCAATGAATTTGAATAGCTACCTGCCTCTAGGGGCTACCGTATGAAACTGCTGAGGTCTGTACATTATTTAGGTCACCACTCTTAGAATTTGAGTCAGAGATACACATTGCAGGATGATTACCTTTTCACACAGCACAGGACTCGTTAATTAACTTGGCTAAAGGTTATCCAAATTTTCCCTTCAAGTACTGATCTGCATGGGCTTAGTTTAAAATTAATGTTATTAAATTCTTCTTTAAAATTAATTTTATTGGTACATTTAAGGTATACAATATAATGACATTCATCATTGGAAATTTTCACCTTTACATAATCCATCTTGTTCTTATTTTTTCCCCATGCCCTCCCATCAAACCCTCCACCCCTCCCTATGTACAAAGACTTTGTTCCCATTTTTCTTTTCCTCATATTAATTCCATTCCCTTCTTTCTTTTAATGTTATTAGGTTCTTAAACATAATTTCTAAATCAAAGAAAATGAGTTTCATCCCATATTGATACTTTGTACCTGAATAGTAAAAAAAATGCACAAACATTTTCATATGACATTTTAAAATTACTTGCTAAAACCCCAAAATAATATGCAGTCATGTGTTGTTTAACATAAGGGATGCATTCTGAGAAATATATCATTAGGTGGTTTTCTGACTGTACAAACTTCAGAGTGTGCTAAAAACCTAGGATGGCTGTGACATCAGTAGATGGTACAATCGTATGGGACCACTGTTGTATGTGTGATCCATCATTGACCACATTATTATGTAGTACAAGACTATCATGACTTAGCAAATCTTTATATATATATAATATATATATATTATATATATACATATGTATGTGTATATATATATATATATATATGATATTCTTCATGTATAAAAAATTCTGGCATTTCTTTGGCTAAAAGAAATTAGCAATACTACAAAGTAAAACCATTTTAATAAAATTAAGATCAAAGCGTTCTTTGATTTCCCCAAAATTTTCCTTATTTTTATTTTTTTATCTGAGCTAAATACTGAGGTGCAGGCTGTTTTTAAAAATCTTTAAAGGTCAAATAAGTCACAATTTATTGTCATATAGCATCATTCTTAATCATTATATTTGGAGATTTTATTAATTAAAGTTAATATCATGAAAAGAAACATAACTCAAAGATCCACTTAGCAGTGCGGGTGTGCTGAGTATTTATCATTGTATGTAGAACTCTTAGTTACATAAATAAAGAGCAAACAGGAATAATATATAGGAACCACTGAAAGATAATCCAGGACTTTTAGTTTAAACAAAAATTCTAAACTCTTACTCCCACCAAACCTAAATGCCTGGAGAGTTTAACATTAAACAGCCCATACTTGACTCATGCAGCTCTTGAGCTCACTGCTTCTTCACCGTATTTTACTGAGAAGAACTGAACATTTTTGCCCTGGGAGCTCTATGGTCTTGAATGAGGGGCATTCAAAGCTCTCTGACCTTCAGATTTGAACTTTGGAGTTCTCATTCCTGAAGTGGAGATAGTAATCCCCAACTAACTTTCCACTTAACTACACTGGGATCAAAATTCAAATTAAGAAAAATTACAAAGAAGTAATAGAAGGGAAGTAACAAATCCATAATAAATAGGAATTAATTTCAATATATAGTGACACTAAACTGTAAAAGATGCCAAGCTTCATTCCTATAGATTCTTATTATAGTAATTCTCCAATATTTTACCCTGCTGACTATACTTGGAATAGGTTTAAAGATTCGGGGTCACCTACCTGTCACTGCAAAAATAAACAAATAACAATAATAACCTTCACTAGAGTCACAGTAAGAACAATTCAATCTTCACTAATGAGAGGCCTATGAGCAAAATAATTATTACCAAGTAAATCTGGAAGCATTTACTAAGGTCTCCCCTATCCTGGCTCTAGTCTATAATCTGTAGAGAATGAATTATGCATAATTTTCTTACAGATTACATTGTTTATTTATGTGAAGATAAAGCAAAATTTCACAACAAAATGATAAGAATAAGGACAGCTAATACACTGGATATCATCATCTTCAAAGTAGTTTTAGGGCTGGGGATTTAGCTCAGTGGTTCAGTGGCCTGCCTTGCAAGTGCAAGGACTGAGTTCAATCCCCAGTACCAAAAACAAACAAACAAACAAAAAACTAAAGTAGTTTTACAGTACAAGACATAGACACAAAATATTTTCTATTACAAAAAAGAAACAAACATGCTGGGGATTTAGCTCAGTGGTTCGGTGGCCTGCCTTGCAAGTGCAAGGACCCAAGTTCAATCCCTGGTACAAAAAAAAGAAAAAAAAAAAAAAAGAAAAAAGAAAAAAGAAAAAGAAACAAACATAATAGCACAAATTTTTTTCAATGAACTAAGAGAAACTAGTAGGATAAATGAAATAGCATATATATTATGCACATGTCACACACAGTAAAGCAGATAATTATTGCCTTAATTTTTGTAGATGAGGAAACTAAAGCCTAAGAAAAGTAAATGACGTATCCTATCTCATTAAGGTAGAAATCTAGACAGCAAATTCTCTACACGCATTCTTTGCCATACCTGGTGGTGTCTTCCAGGATAAGCTTGCAGAGAGAAGGTCATAAATGACTCCGGTAAAAACATAACCCTGGCACATTTAAGTTAGAGAATAACAAAGAGCCACACTACTTAAGCAGGAGAAGAAATGGGCAGAACTATGTGGAAAAGACAATACAGAATGTGATTGTCAGAGAAGTTCTGGGTGATACGATCTGATGCAGAACGGCTGGAAGCTGGATGGATGAAGCAGACCCAAGAATGGACAAACTCAATCATTCATTCATTTAACCTGTTTTGAGCACCTAATATATATTCGACATTATGTTAAGCTCTGGGAATACAAAGGCTAATAATTCTAACAGAATTTACTCTGTAATGAGAGAGACAGATTATAGTGCAGTGCTGGAAATGTAAAGATGATGTGTGAGACCTTTGGGATGTAGATAGGCTCTGAAATCTTCCCACTCATCATGCCACCCTTTGTAGCTTCTTGACAGGGGCAGGGGGTGTCCCCTAATGAATCACTTGTCAAAGAGGGAAACAAAGTACCAGGTGGGCAATTGTCCAAGGAAGCCAAGCGCAAAGTCTCCTAAGTAGGCTGCCAGGGTGCCTGGATGAGGCCTGTGCCTCCAAGGAGCCCTTGCTTCCAAACAAAATCTGAAAAGTCATAGAAAAGGGTCTTTGACATAGATTCCCAAATTTACTTACCCAATAGCCATATGGACAAGAAGGGCCAGGGAACCACATTTACCTACTGATGGAAGAAGAGAAGGAACATGTGTGATGGGATGTTACCTTTTGACAGTGTCTCTATTGGTTTAACGTGGTGCAATGAAGCAGTCAGAAGAGCAGCTTCTCGAGCATGAGAAGGAAATGGGAAGAGAACAGAGCACAGGGCCAGAAGCCTCTGTGGGACAAGGATGATACTTGGACATTTTATATGCCCTTCAAATTAAATGTGCTCAAAACTGATATTCCCCTTTTCAAGGGCAAAGGCAGCTCCTCCCTCCCTAACAACAAGCCATACTTGGTGTTATGGGACGAGGGAGGGATACCCATTCCAGGCTGAGGAGATGCCAGAAGCAGGGCTCTTCCTAGGGCAGCTGAGGCGTAAGTTTAAATTTGAAAAATGCACAGTGAATGGCAAATATGAGAGAGAAGGTATGGAGATATGAGAAAGAAGTACATACTTTGATTACTTTTGAGTTATTCTTGATCCCCAAACTTTGAATTTTACTGTTCTGTGGAGAAAATCCCACTTGAGGTGAAATTAGATCCATTTGCACATGCCCCCAAACCTCACCCTTGTGCAGATTCTACACATATTACCGATGACGGAAAACTGAATGCGAAGCAGCTAATTATTCCTCCTCTGCCTTTCTAATGCACAAACATTAGACATATAGGGTTACTTATTGCCATGCATACAATAGAAAATGTTTCTTTGCTCCTGCATGCAGAACACTGGAATAAGTTACAATGCCATCAAAACTAAACATGCACTATTTCTATTGCCATAAAGGAAAATAACATCTTGAGTGAGGTGTTTCAGTGAAATATTCTTTTATTATTGTTCTGGCTAGGAAGATTATGATATTGTCACAACTAAATTCATTGCCTTTTCTTTTGCCTATTAGAACAATTAGCTCAGTGCAAAAATCATGGAGGAAACTTCTTTTTACAATTGAAATAGAGTAACATATAATTAATTGTATGTGTCACCTAGACTCATTTTTAAATGTGCTGAGAAATAGCTATCAAGTTAAACTCATTCTCATGCTGCATTACTGAAATGCTTTGCAATTATGGGAAGTGATGATACTGACCCTTGTTACCGGACACACAGTAGGTTCATAGTGAGGCCAAGTTCAGCCTAGAGCTGATTGAGAAGATTGGGAATGATCTCAGAGAAGCCAGAATGCATGTTGTGTTCAGAGAACAACCTGAAAGTTTCTTCGTGAAAGAATAGCAACGTTTCAATGAGTTTTCAATTAAAAGTGGTCTAGAATA